TCGAGCCTGCGTTCCCCAGTCAGGGGTTGCCACCCCTCGATCCTGCTTGCCATCGTAAGTGTCGCGTTGGGACCGAGTCCTGAAAAATTTTGCGCGAAAATTTGAGACAGACCGAGATGGAGGGAAGGGGACGCTGAACTTGAGCCCCCAACACACCCTTCCCGTAAAACGCCGTTGCGCATTCAACACTTGATGGGAAGATCCAACATTTTCGAGAGCATGAAATGTCCTCATGTTGAAATGTTTGTGTGATACTTTGTGCATCTTAAATACGCTTTGACAAGGGCGTGGTATATCACAGCAAATTTTACTGGGACGGAAGGAACGCCTCCCCCAATGTACTTACCTTGAAGTGCATATGGGCATTGTCTGCGTCACGCAAAGAGACCGCTGCCTTTGTATCAATAACGGCTGTAAATGAGCTGAAGCTGAATTGCTTCCTTGCTGTGCTGTTGGGCTCAGTTACAGCGCCGCATTCCCGGAAGAAGCCAGGCAAGCTGCGAAGGAAGCAGAGAAGCAAGCAGTGAAGCAAGCAGTGAAGCTAAAATTTGGTGCAAACTGTAAACAGGAGCCTCCTGTTTCTTCATCAATGCCTGACGATTTTTCACCTTGTTGTTTGACTAAGCAGCGCAATGCTAAGCTGAGACACGAGTGCACAATGCGATGGGCTTGTCGCTCCATTGGAAGGATCGCGCTACGCTGGAAGCATTTTATACATACTTGGGGACACTCCGGCTCCTTGGGCAAAAGCAGTGTTGCTGAAGTATTTTGCAATCTCCTGGTAAAAGAATCTTCTGGAATACTGAAAGACAGATATTCCCATTCTGGTGACATGGGACACGCCGGTTGATAATGCATTGGTGCTAGAAGCATAATGCACCAATCAAGAGATATGTACCATTCACTTTGAAGAAGAACCCCATGCAGCATTTTGAGGAGCAACGTGAACCCGCTGTGAGTCAAGAAGATGCACCGGTATGTATGTCCTCTCTCAGCAGTTGTGGGTGATCCTTGGCTTCTGGCGATTGTATTTGAAAACACAGTTGTATACAGGGTTTTGTGAAATGTCCTGCTGCAACTATCTCTTTCTTTAATTCCAGTGTAACTCTATTCATCTGTACAAAATTTGCTAATCTATCTTACTACTTGTAGTACGCATTTTTACGTGCTTGTATTTCAAGATGCGCCAATCGAGAACAGGGACAACATACAAAGTGCTGATATGAAAATCCCTTCAATGGGCGAGCCTCTAATTGCCATTTTTCACCATGAAACTACTCATGACGCCAGTATAGCCATTGCATTTGCTGCTGGTGCCTACAGATTGAATAATCTATTGCAATCTTTTAATGTACCAAATGTTGAAGCACATCGCCAGATTGTGTTCGCTCTTCCAATGTTCACGGATGTTTGTTTACTGATGTACACATCTTGCTCATTCTATTATTTTCCCATCTCTGCCTTTCGCCCTGTATGTTGTCCGCACATATGCGGACAGCTGCACAGCTGCCTGAATGCTCGTATCGCTCAACCTGCCATGTACATATTTGAATTCAAATTTGAAAGCACGTATTTTGCGGCCACATAACTGCTAACTTGTTCAAAATAACACCCTACTGATTCCATCCTATCAGGGCTGGACCTGATGGGTTAGAGTCAATGACGTCATACAATTTGGTGCACTGGTGGTCAACAAATACTGAATGCTGCCTGTATGCGATTCCCACTTGATTACCTAAACCGTTGGCACCTTTATTACTGAAGCTCTCGCTCCTGTAATAATATCTTATGCATTCCTTTTGGCAGTTCTTGCATCATCTGCTGCCAGCCCCGCATCCCAATGTATATTTACTTAATATTCTTCTCATACATTATTTAAAGAGCTTGCTTTTCGCTATCTACTCTCATTATATCACGTGCTGTAATATACTTCATTAGTTGGCCAACAAGACAATTCGCCTTAACTTCCACCATTCAATGCCCCGCTGAAATCCCAAATTTGGCAAATTATTTGCTTTAAAACGAAATCAACGACTTAAATGCTATACCACTGCTAAGAATGCTTTTCATGGACCCTACCAATCATAAATCGCTTTGGTATTCAACAGCAGTCGGTACGCAGGGAGTGAGCCACTTGCTGAACTGCATAACGATTGGGCCCTCACTCTTCGCTGGGCGTATACACTCACGGCAATTACGTTGAGGCACTTTAAGAACACAGTGGAAGACCACCTAATGCGCCAGACCGCTGATGGTTTGCGGTATTAGTCTTTGCAATACTGTGCCCCGGTGTTCCCTTCACAACCCCAGGCGCCTCTCCTAAAATTTTGGACTGCCAGGACCAGATGGCCGGATGCAGCTTTGAGTCCGCACGTGAGTGGTCTGAAGGGCACCCACGGTGATGGACAGCAGTTTGCAACTCACAGCTGGACGCCTTGGCTATTCGGTTCGGCCGGGAGACCAAAGGTGCCCAGAGCACCCCCAGGAGGTCCCCTTGCGCCAGGGTCGGTCCGAGTTGGGCGGACCGCCCCTTGGTTTGTTCGCGTGCTAGAGGTTTCCGACTGTACTTGCGCATTATTTGGCAAGCGTTTAGCTATCAAACGGGAGAGCTATGTGTGAGGAGGCCGTGCTTCTTCCTCCACCTCAAGGTCTCCCGCCATACTGCAACATTCAGAGGGAGATCATAAATGCACCCCAAGGAACGTCTGCAGCATGTCTTTTCTAATCTTTGCATTTTGCATTATCTTAAAACCGATTCAATTGGCCCGGATGGATATGCGATCGGAAAGAATCTGGCGGAGCTCAACGCAACAGAAATCGCTCAGCCGGGTGCTCATCGCCTCATGCGAGCATTGCTCCAGAGCTGCCGTCCACGGGTTGCTTGACAACCAAGCCCATCTGGTCGTTTGAGGCTCAATCAAGAAAGGCCTACCCATAGTAGACGGCTGTAAGCTACCAGGTTTGAGGGATGTGCGCAAATGCCCTTATCACACGTAACGAATCAACCAAAATACACGGTTTCAGACCGTTCGAAAATCGTGTAAAGTAATGTATATTCACTCAATGGTTACTACATGGTTTGGTCCCATTTTGTATGATAGGCACGCAATTGAACACCATTTTTGCACGTTTCCAGGCGTCTTACACGGTTCACGATTTTAAAACTGCATTTTGGCCTGGTTTTTTACCAGTGTGTAATGCCTTCCCAAGCGCTTTCCCTCCCATTGGTGACAAGAAACGTGCCTAATTAGGTGCACAGTGAAATTGGCAGTTGTGCAGTAATGCGGGTCTGCCAATTTCACAGTCGAGCGGTTCCAATTCTCCCAAGGCGGCGCTTCCAAAGGGCCAAGCCACCCTAACGGGTCCAGGGCATTCAAGGGAGGACATGAATCCCTTCTGCTATTCGAGTTCGTGTCGCTCCACCTCAATGGCTGATGGCCACCGCCAAATTTTCACAAAAATCGAAAATGGTCGTCCAGTCATCGGGTGGCACTATTCGGTAATGCGATTGGAGTGTGTGTTGTAGCCATTGCATTGTCTGTTGGCTACAGTAACACTAGTTTCTTTTATTCATTTGTGAATGCCAGCTGCAAGTTGAACTTTAGAGACAACCTATCCCACAAACTGCAGCTGTATGGGCGTCCATTTTCTTGCATTTACGTAACTTACCATCAAAGGATTGGAGAACTCCTTAATTAACGTCAGTTTGATGTGTGTTGGGTCAACATCACCACAATGCCATTGTTAAGAGCCCGTTAGGTCAACAAAGAAGACATAGAAATTCATGCCGTTCAAAAAGAGGAACGAACGAAATTGGGCCGAGGGATTATAGATTTCTATCAAAGATACAATCTGTCAAGTTTTCATTGGAATATTTTCTCCTTTTGGCACTTTTGCAATGATGGCGTGCCCAAGCCATTTAGCGCCCTGAGCCACATCGTTGAAATGCAAAACCTGTCACTTGCCAAGAGGCACAAACGATCTACCAAGATAACAGCGACAAGACAAATGAATCGCAACATTTTAGAACAAAACACCCCAGAAACGGCGGCAATTGCGCGAAAATATCCACCAAAAGATAATGCCCCCGCTGAAGGACGGCAGGGTCGACCCACTCGACATTGAGGGCGGCACGTAGGCCTCAGTACACGGCAACGGATTACTGCGGAGCGGAGGGCCTCATGTATTGACCCCCCAAAACAAGGTCATACATTTAATGTTGTTGATTCAATTAATGCCGTATGGCAGCCCCCTGCTGACACACTCCTGACTCTCCCGTCTGCCAAACGGCCCTCGCCCCCCGACGGGCCCTCCCCAGTACTTTGCCGCCGTACTGCTCCCCGACATCCCCCGACCGCTCCCCATACCCTGGGAATTCGCGCCCCCGGACCCACCCCCTGGAACCACTTTTCGCTCCTGCCCGCACCCCAGGCGGCCGCCAGGAGCCCCACTGGGCCGAGTTCTGGCCTCTGAGCGCAGCCAGGGCGGCATCTTTGGGCTCCTCGATTCGGGCCTGCCCATCCTTGCCAGGCTCGGCCGCCGGCCAACACCTCCCCCTGGCCGGGATCCCGTGGGAAGGCTGCTTGCAGATTCTGTCCCTTCCGGACGGGCGCAGGGGCCAGTTGCCGCGCACCGGTGCCGGCAGATCGGTGACTTTGGCGTCGTCCCTCGGAGCCTTGCGCGGAGAGGGAGGGTTCAAGATTCTTTGCCGCGTGGCCGGACGATTTGCCGCAGCCCGGCACACTTGAATTGCGGCGGCTAGAGCCCCAAACGGCTCTCCGTGTCCACACTGGGCGAGAGAGAGCGGCGCATCTCAGAGCTGGAGCGTGCTTGAGCTTGTAAAGGTGTTCTGCAAATCCGCGTTTGGGGCAATTTTGGTCGGGTTGTAGGACTCTGCGGCTCGTGGTGGCCGGCGGGGCTGCCCCAGAAGGGCGGAGGGACAATCGCGGATCGCTGCCGATCGGCGCGGCCGGCATTCGGCGGCAGAGGCGCGTCGAAGCATGATGCCGCAGGGTGGAGAGAACGGTGTGAAAGGGGGCCGAGGGGATGCGCCCGGGGCGGCCTGGGGCGGGGACGACCGGCACAAGGGCTCCGGCGGGCACCAGCGAGGCCGCACGAGGGTCGGCCCCGCGGATGACGATGAGGAAGTGGTTGAGGTGGACCCCGCCAAGCGGTTCCACAGGTACAAAGAGCAGGTGGGCACTGGGAGATTCAAAAAGGTGTACCGGGGCTATGACACGGAGGAGGGCGTGGACGTGGCGTGGTGCAAGGTGTTCGACTTCGAGAAGGAGCAGGCCGCGGAGATCCTGGAGGAGATGCAGAAGGGCATAGCGCTGGACCATCCCAACATCATCAAGTGCTACGCGTGCTGGGAGTGCCGCAAGACGGGCTGCATCAACCTGGTCACGGAACTGTTCACGTCCGGCAACCTGAGGGACTACCGGCAGCACTACCGCCACCTGGACCAGAAGGCGCTGAAGAAGATGGGGCGGCAGATTCTCAGCGGGCTAGCCTACCTGCACGGGCTCAAGCCGCCGGTGGTGCACGGCGACCTGAGGTGCGACAAGATCTACGTGAACGGCTTCAACGGCGAGGTGAAGATCGGCGACCTGGGCCTGCGCACGCTACTGGCCAAGCGCTACGGCACGTCCACGACCTCCGCAGACGACTTCAAGACCCCGCCGGAGGACATGTACTGCTTCGGTCTGTGCCTGCTGGAGCTGTTCACCAAGGTGTACGTGGACAGGAGCGTGCCTTATGTAGAATGCCTGCGCCAGCTGCGCAAGGCAAAGGACGAAAAGGTGCGTGATGTGATCGCCCTCCTGCTGGGGGATGCCGACCAGAGGCCCGTGCCCACCCAGCTGCTGGAGTCGGAGTACTTTCGCAAGCCCCATGTAGATCATGCGGCCACCCCTGCGCCCAAGCAGCCCCACGGGGCGTCCCACGACGCGGGCAAGCTGCGCGGGGAGGACTACAACTTCGTGGTGGCGGCGGAGGGTGAACCCGAGGACGGCAAGATCCATTTCGAGATCACCATGACTAAGGAAGAGGATCCGGAGACGGTGCAGAACGTGGGCTTCGACTACATCCTGCTGGAGGACTCCCCGGAGCAGGTGGCGGACGAGATGGCCAACAGCTTCGGGCTGAGCATGACGGACAAGGAGATCTGTGCGGCGGCGCTGAGGGAGTGGCTGGCGTCCAGGGACCTGCCCTGTGTGGTGGACACGAGACACTGATGGGAGAAGATGGGGTGTTGGTGGGCAGCCAGGCTCTGCAGGGGGGCAGTGGTGTGTGTGGATGGCAGCCTGGGGCCCAGTAGGGGGAGGCGGTGGGCTCAGGGGCGGTCGGCGGGGGTTGTTGGGGCCTAACTGAAGTGTTGGGTGGGAGGGCAAGAATTCAATCTGGGACCCACATGTGCCGAGCATTGGTGTGCTTGAATGGGGACCTCATGCTCTGAATTGAGGGGCAGGTTGTTGGGAGCTGGACACAGCGCTCTATTGTAATGTGCTGCTGGCCGTGGTGGTTCATCGCCAGGTGGCGCCCAGTCGGGCGGAGGAGATGCGTCGAGGGTGAGTGTTGAAACTGCGTGAGACTGCGTTGCTGTCCTGCTGCGGTTCATGAGAGCGCTTGTGTGGGCCTACCCTGTGGCAACATGGATGATGGGTTGCCCGGTTTTCTGCCCCGTTTTCGTTGGCCTCCTGCCCAACTACACTGTGGCTTGGGAGGCCTTCTGGGATGTGTTGCAATGACCGATCGACCGTAGTTTCACACACACCTGTGGTGACGCGCTCCCTGTGTCACTGGTTGCGATGGACCCTGGCGATTTGGGAATCGCTTTTGGTAGTCAGTGGATTCTGAAGTCCCATGTTCTGGGGCTCACGACGCGGACAAACGTGGCATGTTTCCCTGGTTCTGTGGCTTTGGTTCGGTGTTGATCAACACACAGCCGTCTTCTACTATTTGCGCTTTTGGGGGGCACCTTGTGTTGCTGCCACCAAAGCCTTGTGCAGTTCATGAACTTGCCTGGATGGTGGTCTGGTGCTGCACGTTAACGGTCTGCAGGAGCATTCAGTTGTCAAGGTGGCACTGCGGCACTGACCTTCGCCTCTCTGTCCTGAACCGACTACGGCCGAACAGTTTTGTTCAATGGGTAAATAGTTTCACTTCCAGACCCACTGTTTGGGGCGGTGTGGGGTGTGCAGGCGGTGACTGGCTCTTGTGCTGTTTTGTTGTCACATGCAGCAAGTGTTCAGGCCTGTTTTGCCAATTCATTGGCGAAGGTGCAGAGCAAGGCTCCTTGTGCTGGTTTGTGTGTCTGTCAATGTGCCTTGTGTGGGTTAGGCCGCATCGCGGTGTAAACTCTGCATTGGGATTGGTGTAGGTTTGTGTTGAGGTAGATAGGTCGCATTTGGAGGCTGCACTGTTTTTGCCATCGCGACATCAACCTTGACGTTCTGGTGGCAGGAACCGCTCAGTATGGCAAGGATGGTGCCCCTTTTCCTTTGAAGCATCATCCTGAATGCTGTGAGGAAGAACTGTCGATTCGGCAGGACACTTGGGGATTCGGGAATTGGTGCCATTGTGGGGCAGGGCAAAGTGATTGTAATGTGGCAGAAGGTGTTTGGGCTGCAGAGGGATGCTGCTATCAGGGTGGGTTGATAGCAGTGGTGCTGACTGTGCCATGGGGTGCCCCTGGTTCCTAATAATCGGAAATCCTCAGCTCAAAAATCCTCAGCTGTTGCCTGGCTGGCATGACCTCATCCCCCACCGGAACCTCTGCATGTGTCTATTGTTGGAGCTTCTTGCATGAATGGAGACTGGACGGAAGGAAGGTATTGCAGAGAGTAAATGTGTCATCTGCTCAAAAGTGGACTCTGCACCGACCTGTGGAGATTCTTTAGAATTTCAAGAGTCAGTGAAACAACATTTCTGGATGCCGCTTCTCTGCACAAACTGCAATTCGCCTAATGCTTCTGGCGTTTCTTTGGCGCTTTGCCACCGGCCAACCTGCTGTACCAATGGAAAGTGCTGAGGAAGCCTGGCCCCCAAGTACCTGTACCGTATGTGAAGATCTTGCCAATGTTTTCGGCATTTGGAAATGCATGCCATGCATTTCCACGCAATGCATGCTTTTTCCTCAAGTTTTTCTTCCCTTTTGCTCAAGGAATTCGACAACCACATTCCCTCATTATAATTAATGAGAGGGAATGTGGCATCGAACCAAAGCCAAACCTTAAAGTGGGAGGCCGCAAGGACCTCGCACTTAAGGTCCATTGAGCAGACCACGTAAGCAATTTGGGCCCCGCCTTGCCCCTCCGACAGGTGCAAGGCGGGGCCTTCCCCTTGTACCCGAAGCTCTTTGGCTTTCAGTAAAAGCCATCCCGTGTCGACGCCGTCCAGGCCTACATACTCCTCGCTCCATCTGGAGGCGGCGCCATACTTGCTGCATCATGGCAAAGCCCCAGCGCTGGGTGGGGACGGCGTAGACTATATATGCCTCCAAACGGAGGCACAGTGGCTGGTGGTTTGCGCCAACTGCCATCTCCATGTCCATGGATAGGCGGTTCTCACCTAGTACTGAGGGATGCCATATCCCATTGGCGTGGCCTATTCCGAGGGCACACCAATATCACCCTTGACCCCCCATGACAGGCTCCTCTGAAGTTCTCACAAGAGGCCATTTAGTCGCGGTTCCCAAGTGGGCAGCAGTGGGGACTCTAATCCTTGCTCGGAGGGCGCATCCGCATGGATCTCGACTTGGTCCACTACCATGGCCACGCCAACCCCTCGGTAGCTCCCCACCTAGCCCCTCGCTTGCTTGCGTGACGTCTTGCACCCCTGCGCTAGACCCGCCCTCCCAGAACGCATTGGGACCCGGCCCCAAGGGGCAGATCCCCCTGTTCCGTGTTACGACCAAGGCTGCCATAATGGATCACCGTGCGCATCAACCTTGGTCACACTGCGCTACGCATGAGAACCCACCAATACTCCTATCAGAACATTTAGCTGTCATGGGTTTCATGTTCCCTGCATGCAGGTGTGTCATGGAGGGTGTGGACAGGCATGCCGCCACATGACACCCAATCAACATATCATTATGGGGGCCTCAACATTAAGTTTAGGCTAGGCCCGGTCCATAACAAACATGGGCAACCTACGGCCACTTGCCATTGTGTTTTAGGTCGTATCGTAAGGCAGCATGAGGTCTATTTATCCATGTTGTCGTCCAATTCTCTTCCATTTGAACCTTTGTTTATGATTCATGTGCTCAGTACACTTCTTCCCATCACAATCAGTCAAAAAAACTTACCCAATACCAAAGCTGCCGCCTTCCCAGAGCCTGTCACTTCGTGTTGGGATGAGTTAACCATGTCCATTTTCTTCCAAATAAGATCATATTTTTGATCATAGTGGATGGACACGGACAGCCACCTATCCTTGAGGCCTGGCTGCATGCATCATCCTTTAACCATGGATGCAAAATCCTTTTCTTTTGATGCTCAGTCTATTCTACAATTGACATTGCAATCTCATGGCTGCCTTTCTTATATCACACCAAATATTTTATAACTATATTGTCTTGGTTCACAATGTGACGAACTTTCATGGTAATGAATGGCCTACAACCTTATTTCCATCTCTGCTCATCATAAGGCACAAAATCCTAACAAGGACATTCTTGCACTCTCGTGTTTCTTTTGCATCTATTAACATGAGCTTAATATCCCTTCACGTGGGGTCGCAGTTCTCACTCTTTTCATATAAGAGATGAACATCTATACTAGCTACCGTACCACAACATTCTTCCCATATTCTTTGCTATTAGTCATCAGCTGTTTTACTCGGATTCGGATAGTATTCATCTAGTGACATGATATCAAGTCATGCAGCTGCGACCTTGTTATACAGTCACACTTCTTCACGTAGGCTGTGACTCATTCTTCCAAATTCGACTACTCTTATGTTCTTTCTGATTTCAAACTTGTAGCCGCTACTTTACATTTTTCTTCCTTCTCAACCATTCTTATGTCAAAGATGTTATTCATACAACTGTTAACACACAAAAAGTCTAGTTACAGTAGTTCAATCTGCAGTTTTTCTCGTTTCCTTTCACACAGCCCCATCCCCGTGTCACGGTAGACATCAATATTTGGGGCTTACTATTTCTGACGTACCTACTACTTTAGGTACCATATTTGTCAAACAGATTTCCATCTACGATCATCAACCGTATCAGGACCCGACACCTTGCCAGGCACAAGTACACGAGGCGACTAGAATGGCATCATTACATCGGACATCATCACCCTGTCAACTTGCTTACAATGTGCCCACTTAACCTCAGTAACGGTCAGCACTTTCCTCCCACACTATATTCCTCTTGAAGTCACATTACCATCATCCACATTTGTCTATTGCTCATACCAAACATATTAAAACCATTTCAATTCACTTCCTCTGGCTCGTATTCGAGTAATAATCCAGCCACGAGCATCGACTCTTTACACGGCCATATTTTCTTAAATCGATCAGGCCAAAATCTTCATGCTCCTCTACTGGCTAAAGCTTCAAGCCGGGTATACACCTTCTTCGCTTAGTTGTCCTGGCATCCTCCCTGTGAACCCCTCTCGGGCACGATCCAGCAGATGTGCACCTCCACACTTTCTCAGTGACTTTTACTTTCTAAACGTTTCACATACATCTATCATGCTCAGACGCTCGACGGCTCTAATGTTCCACGCAGCAAAATCAACATTGACATAAACTTTTTCCAGCCATATCTAACTACTGATCTGCTCTTTCTTCTTTTTATCTTTACATGAGCTTATTAATCACAGCCCACTTCAGTCAAACGCCCTGTCTGTCATCAAGACACAATATATTACAATGATGGTTATCGGGTTGACCGGTCTCGCACACGCTCGCACGGTCGCTCCCAGGCACGGGAAGCAAAACCGTAACCGGATGCATTACAGGATGAGTGTATCGACTAAATATCAATCACTGCAATAATGTTCACTTTCCCATCTCCATTGTCCCCATGTACATTCACCATAACACCATGTCCACCATATTTACTTCCCACCATCAATTTGATGGCATCAAAACACACCATGTATCATATATTATACATTAACCGTTCGCTTGCTCTCACACGCTTCCCTGCGCCAAATATACACCCACCGGAAACTCATCCCTTTTCAAATGGCATCCCGATACGGCCGTAACATATCCG